ACAAACTGCAGGACCCAGAACTTAAACATTAAAGCCTGTTAAAACAATTCAGCGGTCTGTGTTTCTCCACTCTGTCTTATGATGTATTCTAAGAGCACATTGAGCCAGTAATATCACTGAATGAACTTTTTGAGTTATTGTGCAAAATACCCTTGAATATATACAAGGCGTTGGACTTGTTAATTTTAGCTTTAATTCAGACAGGAGTCTTATTAGATAGAGGGGGAGTTTATTAGCGATTGGCAATAAATAAAGGAAATAAAGTAAGCAGTTACTGAACACACAATAATATGGCTGGTACCACACAATGGTTATAAATTTGTCATATGAAGCACTACTCACAACTTTTTCTGCAACTGCACCATTTTGAAGTAACCAGTGAAGGACATTAGCATGACCAGCAAAAGCTGCAAGGTGTGCTGGTGTCTGTTCAAATCTTCCTTCACATACATCAATGTTTAAACCACACTCAACAAGGCGCTTCAAACAATCAACCTAAAAAATTAAAAAATTGAGGGACGAGGTTAGTTTCGGGTGAAACTGCGGTTTTATTAAATGAGTTACGCACCAACATAAAAATGTCAAAAAGCCACTGTTTCAAGAGCAAGCCCTTTGATTTACCCTTATGAATGCCTAGCTCTCAAAATGTCCTCTATTTGATCTTTGCAGAGGAGACTTGACATCATCAACTTGCAGGCTGATTAAAACAATTTTTTTTTGTATGTGACCTAAATATTCTTATGTACATGAAAAAAGTGGTTTCCTTACCCAATTTGCTCCTAGAAATTTTGACGAAAAACGCATTTTGAAGATAGTTGAGCAGTTTTCTGGTCACTGTCAAGCTATATATAGCTAAAACTTACCACAAAGCCGGTCATACACTTCATGCCCTTCTGATCCAGATCCAAAATATTAGTTCGGGCATGTGCAGAAAGCAAAATTTTGAGATAGTTTTTTAGTTTAAAAGTGGCAAAGTAGTCTTAGTAGGCTTCATTTTGGTGGGAAAAGTTCTTAGAAATGCTTTTACGATCTTAAGATTAGACAAAAGGAAAGGTAGGGTTGTGAACCAAGATTTTCATGGAAACTTTTAGGGCAATGTTACATGTTTTTTTGCCTTTTTCTCCGGTGTCCTTTACCGAATTGTGATCATTCTAGTATGGTTTGAAAGATCTCTTCACTCTGCACAAGTTAGCAGACAAAGTTGTCCTTGACCATTAACACTGATGACGTCACAAGCTGTAAAAGGGACATGGATCCGCAGAGGTGGTTACAGGCAGCTCAGGTTAAGAGAGAAAACACTACTTAATTACCTAGAAGGGTTCACCATTACAGCCACCAATATAACTTCAATTAAGGAAACCAAAAAACAATGACTCAGTAAAAATGGGTGAACAACATGGTAGCAATCACAAGGGATGTAAAGATTTAAGTCTATTACCTCCCTGCTTTTGAGCAAGTTTGGTTACAAAGTATAATCAAAGCACAAACAAACTGTGATTCACTATTCTAAACGAATCATAGTTTGAGGTACCAAGAAAATATTCAAGATTTCCGCACAGCACCATACATATATTTGAATAACTAAGGACCGTTTCGCCCTGTTTACAATAACAAACTATTTGTGTGGAAAGTGTTGGAGAAAGTTGCATGCATAACAAAAAGTGCAAGGGACTGTGCGGAAATCCCACTATACCCAAGTCTAGCGTCGGGTCTAAAACGTTAGCCGTAACCTAAACACATCATCAAAACAAACTGATTAACTGTTTGGCAATGGAAAAATTTCTCAACAACGTGGACTAGATTTCAAGTGGTCTTTCTTTCATGAGTTATTATGTATCAGATTCAGAATTTGAAAATGTAGTTTTCAATAATTTCACCTAATAACTTTTGTGTAAGAACATCGATCTCGAAATAAAATTGTGGTTCCGAGACAAATGATCACGACAACAACGGGGTCAAGTCACGAAAAACAATTCTTCAAGCTTCCCTCGCTAACGTACACATATAAATTCCACGTATCTTGGTTTCTCCGTTCTTTTTCATGACAGAAGGAGTTCTTTACTTCTGGAAGTTGAAAAAGTTTGATACTAAGTTTTAGTTTTCTCTTGTTCGTGATCAGCTGTTAAGCATCAAAGAATTTGGCAGTCACGAGAGGAATCTTTGGACTGTCTGTTGCAAAAAAAATCTGTAAGACCCTATAAAAACAAAGTCGAGTATGAAGTACATGCCAAATACTGCTATAATAACTGCAAGAGCTCTGTAAAGAAAATGAAAGAAGGACTGTTTAAAAGTCTTATCGCTAGCTTACAGCTGACCTACAAGCTGTTTGTTTTCCTGTTTTAGAAATTGTATTTTCTTCACAAACTAAACCGACAACTAAACTAACCTTTCCAAAGAAGGCAGCCCAGTGTGCAGGGGTCCACTTTAAGTAATGGTCTTGCTCATTTAGGGAGCGAAAAACTGCAAGTCTGTCTCCTTGAACGGTTAAGTAAGTTAGACTAAGCATGTCTCCGTCCCTACAAGCTCTGTGAACAGGAGGAAGAGGATGCTCAGACCAGGCACAACGTAAAATACACTCATTAAGCTGCTGCTTCGTTTGAAAACCACACTCAGATCCCATGGTTAATCCAAAATGGGTCCGAAAAAAGAATAGATAATACTTCAAGAGTCAAAGATGAAACCAAAATAAAACATCCCCAGTAATTTTACACTACAAACAATAAAAATCCCGCCGAAAAGAGTCACCCACAGACCATGCGGTAGCTTGTCACTCAATCTTTTTTCTATTGACCAATCAGAAAGCGAGAATTTTTCAGCCGCTCGAAAACGAACCAATCAGAGAAACGGAATGAAAGAAAGCCATTTGAAATTTGCAATTCTCGTCATCCGGGATTTTGTGGTTATTATCAGTACTTCCTGTCATAAATTTTGTATATCCGTTCTGCTTGAAGAGGGAGATTTCAAACTATCTTGCGGTTCAATTGAAAGCTTAAAAGCTCAGTTTTTTTGACAAAAGGAGCCATGAGCAGCACTGACAACCAAGT